GTGATGTATAACACTACATATATGTTACTACCCACTATAGAGGTAGGAACATAGCCTAGTAACATAGTACATGTTACTAGTCTAAGTTACTCCCCACTGTGACCAGCCTAAGGCGTGCTCTCCAAAAGCTTTACTGCAACTTGACTATTGCTGCTCTCCAGGTTTCACAAATCACAACCGTTTTGAGTCGGGGACAAGAGCTGCTGAGAGTAAGTAACTGCATTGACGACTTAATTGAACTCGCCCGTAACAACCACAGGAAGCGAGCGAGCGTGAGAGCTCAGGGGCAAGGCGAAACCGTAGACATACCGGCTGAAGTTGACGGAACTGCAGAAGCTATAGATGCAGAGCACAGCCGCGCGCGATGAGTCACTGAAGGTCATGCCCGGACAATAAAGTTGGGTTCAGAAATAAAAGCAGGCAAGGCGAGAAGGATGAGGTCGGAGGGGTGGCTGGAGAGTGGAGATGGCGAAAACGGCGAGCGAACCGGGCGGCTCCACGTCGCGAGGCCCGGCATCGGGCGGCGCGTCCACGTAGCCGCACCACCGTAGGGGTAGTGGGGAGGGGCAGAAAACGACGAGGCGGGGAAGGTAGTAAGGTTGGGGCCGTGGAAGTCAGAGGCGGGTATCATCGATCGGCGAAAGGGGGACGTGGACGGATCTGGGACAGCCTGGCGAGGCTTTAACGGCCTCCCACCGCACCGACACTGGCCGGTACTGTACTGTACAGCCGAGATCGGCAGAGATCCACGCCCATGGAGAGAGCGAGAGCGAGATCGGGGAGATCCATTCCACGGGTGCCAGTGCCAGCCCAACCAACAACCCCACCACCCCACCCGTTTCAGTTACGACCCTAGGCAGCTTCGCCGCAGCTTCCTGGGACCGTTTTGTTTATCGCCCGAGCCGGTGCCCTGCACGCCGCGCGGGATCCATCCATCGTTCCTTGCTTTGCCACTCCCCCAGCCTGTATCGTACAGTATTTTTATTTTTTATTAATGCCCTCGGGGCGACCTCCGTACCGCCCCCAAACACGCCCGGTGTCCTATCCGTCCAATGTCCATCCATCAATCTATCTTCTCCCCTGCCGACGTGCGGGATTCGGGAGCATTTCTTTATTTATCAACCGGGGGACGAGGCAGGCAGGCAGGCGGCAACGGCAGAGGCGCATCGGTCGCTCGTGTGGATGGATCTCTGAGCCCTCTGGATGAAATTTCTGTTTTGACCTTATACGCGAAGATTAGCACGAATTGACCTCGTTTGGAAAATACTTTTGAATCTGACCTTTTTTGGTCACGCCAACATCCTCAGCGTTTGGATTACACTGGAGACGCCACGATCAATGGCGTCTGGCCCTGGCCCACACTTACACAGCTAGTGCTGATGTGGCGCAGGCGAAACGCCATGAACCTTGGCGTTTGGGCAAACGCCATACTCCTTGGCGTTTGGTGTCAGACACAAATATGTGCTAGCCTAGCTTAGCTAAAGCTAATTGAGAGCTCATGTAAGAAAAAAAAGCTAACTTACAGCTTGGCTAGCTAGATAGAGTACATTCAACGGATGATTTGCATTGCAGAGTGCGACACACTAGTAAAACATGACCAACACTGACTCCTGAAAAAAATATTGTATTTGTCAGTGGACTGGTTCGGACCAGTCCGCATGCAAGAATATGAAAGCCAACCATCCAATCATGTTCGCATACTTTAGGGACGTGATTTAACAAACCGAACAGTTTTTTTGCATGCTAAACCGAACGAATTTGCAAAGACAACAAAATTCACTTAAGTTCACGCATAATAACTCTGTCCTGATTTATTGGTCCTCGTCGTATTTTGCTAAATTTTGATCATAGATTTAAATAAGAAAATATTAATGCATGTCACAAAAAATATATCCTTCTATTCTTATTTGAACATAGTTTCCAACATTATTATTTTTTGTGACATTCACTAATATTTTGTTATTTAAATTTAAGATCAAAATTTGGCACAAAATACAAAAGGGACCAATAAACCAGGTCCGAGATAGTACTCCTGGTGTCAAAAAAGGTCTTACATTATGGGACGGAGGGAGTAATTTACGGTGGAACCACCATTGTCGTTCATGTCGCCGTCGTCGTCGTATTCATCATCAGAGTAGTCCTTCCAGCGACGGAAGGGCACGGGGTGCGGCAGCCCCGTCCGATCGCCACATGGCGCTCACGAACGAGCCGTTTCGCTTTCTCCTGCGTCGTGCCGAGGGCCGCCTAGGCTAATGCCGACCCTGGTCGGTGTGCCTTGGTTGCCTTGCCCCTGCTGATAGGGGGGGGGGTGTCGCTGAGCGATCACTCCTAGCTGATCTTTGTAAGCTCCCCGTCAAAGCAGTCGCGATGACACGCGACCGTCCCCGCCGTGGTCAGCGCGGACCTAGTCGGCGCCTTGTCGGACTTTGCAAAGGCCGAGCGGCACACCGTGTTTATCCACTTCTGCCTTGCCGCCGCGACGATGCTCCACGAGGACGACAAGCCACCGGGGCCACCGAGGTAGTGGACAATCTATCGTTGGCACTCCTGGTTCGTTCTTGCCGCCTCCGAGAGGAAGCGTGACTGCTCCGTCGGCTAATCCTCCGTGTCGTCAGAGAAGATGACGATCTCCTTCATCTCGGAGGAGTTGGTGGCCGTGGAGGTCAAGGAGTCCGAAGAACGATGACGGCGGTGCCATGATCTGAAGGGAGATCCAAAGCCGACACCTCAGAAAACCAAGACTTGGGCATGGTGGAGATCTTGGTCTGGACGGCGAGGGAGTGGAGAGGAACGAATAGGGTTAGAACGGAGAGGAAAGGCACCTGTGATGTGTTGTGTGGACGCCCACCCGTCCGGTCATATTGCTCTAGAACGGCTGTGTCCAATCACGTCTGCTCTCGGTAATGTGGAAAGAAACTGACGGAGCCATCAATTGTGAACGGGGATGCCACATGGCTCCTCTTTGCCGTGTGTGGCTCTCGGCATCTGCGTCGTTTGTCATGCGATGCTTGTTCGCCGTGAGCCCGTGACGGCAACGTCAACTAGTTGCCGTGAAGCAAGGTTTGGCGAGTGTGGCTCTCGGTGTTGTTTACTTTGTTGAGTGTCCGTGTTTTGGCTCTCGGCAAAGAGCCTGACAACCGGCGTATATGGAAATTTCAGTAGTGGTTGGGGTCAGATCGTGTGGTCGGACCCGTAAGTGGCACGAGTTTGAACACCTGCAAACCTTCTGTAAATTTGATGTCGATTTGTGAAAATTCAGACGACTTGATTTACAACACCATGTTTAATGACAAAAAAGTCGGGTTGGAATTTTTACCGGCGATTAGCAGCACCGAGTTAATGGCCCGAAACCGTGCAGTTCATGCTTGACTAGGAGTAATAATTCAACGAAGGCAATCGTAGTTCCTGTTCCGCTCACAATACGTGCAAGTTGTCATGGACTCTTGCATGGAGCACATCGTTTGCATGGAAAGAAGAAATAATACTAACATGCAAGCTCGCCCAAGGAATATGGCGTTTACCCAAAACGCAAGTTTGATACTAACATGCAAGCTTGCCCAAAAGATTTAACCAGCCAGCTCTCGGTAGTTTTAGCTAGGCCCGCCAGACAAGGACACATATATGTGTGTATTACCAAACGCCAAGCACTATGGCGTTTGCCCAGACGCCAAGGTTCATGGCGTTTCGCCTTTGCCACATCAGTGCCAGCTGTGTAAGTTTGGGCCAAGGCTAAACGCCATTGATCGTGGCGTCTGCAGTGCAATCCAAACGCCAAGGACGTTGGCGTGACCAAAAAAGATCAGATTCGAAAATATTTTTGAAAGGAGGTTAATTCGTGTTAATCTTCATATATAAGGTCAAAACAGTGATTTCGTCCGAGCCCTCTCTCTTTCGGTGGCACTCCCTGCCACGGCTGCGAGCGAAACCAGTGAATGTGCCGGGCACGGTGGTCGGGGGTGGCGGGATGCCTTGTCTGGCTCCGGCGGGCGGGCGGTGAAGTGAAGGTGAGCGAGACAGAGGGGCAGTCAGGCTCGAATCAATGTGCGTGTCGCGGGCGAGCTGTGAGTCACTGTGCGCGGATTCCAGCGCCCCGCTAGCGGACAGGCGGCCGCGCGCGAAACTTCGAGCGAGCCTGCCGTGCGAGTGAAACTCAACAGGCCTACTAGCTGTCATGCACGAGTGGCGGCTAAATTTCGTGTTTTGACCTCTTTTCGTAACTTATTCGAAATCTGACCCTGGTTAGTAAAATTTTTGAGATTTGATCCTTTTCTTACCGCCAAGGCCCCTGGCGGTAGGGTATAACAGCCTACCGCCAAGACCTACCGCCAAGGCCTCTGGCGGTAGGGTTGTTTTTTTTCTAAGTATGGAACACAGTGCACGCTGGCACCTACCGCCGGACACCTTGGCGGTAGGGTTGTACAGCCTACCGCCAGCCTGTTTGGCGGTAGGGGTCTTTCTTACCGCCAGGGGCTTTGGCGGTAGGCTGTTATACCCTACCGCCAAAGGCCTTGGCGGTAAGAAAGAGTCAGATTCTGAAATTTTTACGAACCGGGGTCAGATCTCGAATAGGTTTCAGAAAAGGGTCAAAACACGAAATTTAGCCACGAGCGGCGGTACTCCGGAATTCAACTGTTCGCTCAGTCACCACGTGAGCGTAAACGGCCGTGCGACTGCCAATGGAGTTGCACGGACGGGTGTAGTGGCGCATCGCCTCTGGCCCGCACAGCGTGGTGCTCTCGTTGCGTACCAACAGTCCACCACCAAAGAGACGAATTCACAATCTCAAAACAAAAGAGAGACGAATACACCTCGAAAAAAAAACGAGACTAAGTGCCAAAAAAAAAAACGAGACGAAGAAGGCCACACGGTGCTCATTTAAGCCGAAATGTCAAGTCATAATACAGGCACACACGAGATGCTATTCCTAGGCAGTCAGGGAAAAAGGAAAACGAGTGCAAAGTAAAGGAATCCAGCAGCTCTTGAGCTCTTGGGCCCTTGGCTCATGTCGCAGCAGGCTCGGTCGGGGCGATTGACACGGAACGGAGCAGCTCCAGGGAAGTCGCCACACCTAGGAAATGCGACAGTATGGTGTTCGCTGAAGCCTGCGCACGGTGAGGATTAAAGACTGTCAGATTATTTCTCGTGAATGTTCGCTGATACTGATGAGCTGTGAGTGATGAAGCCTTCAAGAAATTAAACTTCCAGCATAAGCAATTCAACTTCAGTAATTCCACTACCTCTTCCGGTTTATAGTTTCTTAGTACTCCCTCAGTCCCATAATATAAGAAAGTTTTTCAAACTAACAAAGCTTGAAAAGCGTTATTATATTATGGGACGGAGGGAGTACTTCGCAATCAGGAATGTGAAACGAACTCGTAAGCATTTTTCCTTAATACATAAATGAAAAGAAACAAAAAAAAATTGGGTGGTTAAGACTCGGTTTGCGGTTGATGAACTGTGTCGTTCTGTGCTTATTTTATAATCTGTTGTGGAAAAAATTTGACACAAAAGTGGGCAGCAGTGGCTCAAACAAACAGTGAAACAGGGAAAAGCGGCTGGGGTGAATGGGGTTATGAGAATCCACCGCAATGCCAAACGCAGCCTAAGTTTAGAATCCACAAAACTAGCTACGGAATGTTCACTGTATTCGTTATTTACATGATTTTACGGGCAAAGTTTGGAGGACCTGAAGGTATGTATTCAGATTGTGCGCTATGAAACTGAATTCTTTTGATGTTAGTCCTAGAGCACCTTCTTTACAATATAACTATAACTATATAAGTACAACAGACAAACCAGGACTATTGCAGTACAGATTTGGTCCTAGAGAAATGACCCTATCCATTGGCTTATCAAAACTTGCAATTACAATCAGGCTTATGGGTCTTGCTGTTTTTACATGAAGCTCAACAGTTTATGATCTTGATTGTAGAGTAATGTGTGTCATCAAAATTCATCTTACATATAGAAGAATGCACTTTCAGAATTCAGAAATACGAACATAATAAATAAGCAATCAAATACCTGAACCAGGAATACATCTAGAGCCAAAACAGGACTTTGGCCAGCAGAAGTTGCCTGATAATAGGGGACTGCGGAGGTAGTAAGGGCTTTTGCTACCAAAGCACCAACAAGTGCCTGCATACCGAGAACAGCTGAACCCATCCCAAGAATATTGAGCACAATGCCATTTTTCAGACTTTTAATCACATCAGCCCGTGGAGGAGCCTGGAAATCAGTCCATAGTTTAATATTCTAATCTGAAAGCAAATCATATCTGAAGTATATCTTCTCATGCATAAAACAAAAATAAGCAGATATGAGTAATCTTTGCACTACCATTTAAATGTGTAAAAAATCAGTTCAACTCTCAGATGGTACACAAGACAGATAAGTACACAAGATGAGACACAGGCAGTGGAGAAGGTTATGGTTCTCTGATAGGTAACAATGTGAAATGGGTGGTCAAGAAAGAGAGTACCTTTGCGGGTGCGCTTGCTGTTTTCCGAAGTCTTTCAGAAAGACGGATGTAGCCAAATGACCAGAAGACTGAAATAAAAGCTGCAGCAACGCCAGCAGCAGTTGTGTAGAATGTAAAGGGTGATGTAACCTTCCCAGTAACAACTGTGGAGAATGACAAAATTCCAGCAGAAACAAACGTGCACACCAACTGGGACCAGAACCCTAGGGTACCCAAATTCTTGAAATACCTAGCTGTTTTCTCTAGCCTCTTGATAACCTGTCCATTCAGTCATTGAAAAGGAATGAAAATATATGCTTCAGTCATGGTACATGGCTTAGAGTAGTACTTAAAGATAATCAATATACATGCAATATAATTTTAGCTATGTGAATAATAAACAGCCTAATTCAAAGCTACCAGCATCACGCAGGTTAATCAGCCTAATATAACACATACAGCTGGGAAAAGAAGAACATTGTCACAATGTCGCTTCAGGTATCAGGATCACAGTTTGTTCACTAAAAGTAGGAGCAAGGAAAGTTGGAAGAAATGGCATCGCAATTAAAACATGCTGTGTCGCTTTTTCTAGGTAAGAGAGTTTAACCAGAAGATATGAAATCCTAATGATCAACAGGTCATGACTGGGGAGCGCTGTATTTATTAACCCTATATTTCACTATCATTTTTCAATCTACATGCAACAGATGCGACATATGGGCACTAGCAAAATCACAAACATACAATTTTGTACCATCAACTATCACAGCAAAACAAAGCCAAAACACCATGAAATGCCTAATGAGGACAGTGGTTCTATTGGCAAGATCCAAACCTGATAAGGTAAGTTTACCTGTCATTAAACAGTTATAAGCGCACTAGCAAATTCAGCAACACACAATCCTCTCAACTATCACATCAAAACGAAACCAGCAGGCACGCCATGGAATGCTCAGTGAGGCGAGGTTCTATCAACAAGATCCAGACCTGAAATATCTATCTATGATATCTTTAGCGTCCAGTTATCCTGACATTTCAGCAATTTCCCTGTACTCGAGATATATCAGATACAAATCACTTAATTTCCTAAACCCTAAACATCACCATGCCCGAGTGCATTATCCTAAGACAAGCAACCATCACATAGCCCAACAGTAAATACTTCATGTGTCACTCTATAATACATAAACATAAAATTCCCATACAGATTTCCAAACATAATCTTTCTCGAGAAAGCAGGATAAGAACCCTACTTCACGCGCGGGTCAAGTACCGGACGTCGATGGATCAATCAAAGGGGATAAAATTAGGGAAGCACCTGCTCGAGCTTGGCGCGCTCAATTGTCTGCTCGGTGGGGGGAGGCGTCGGGTAGAGAGGGCCCGACGAAGACGAGGACGCCGCCGCCGCCACAGTGAGACGCCGCGGAGCGGCTTCGCCGCCCCCGAAGCAGAGGCGCCCGGTAGGGAGGGTAGCTCCGTTGAGGGGATGGCTGGCGAGAGACGCAACAGCGGGAAGCCCTCGCTGCCGGAGCAGCGGCGGCGGCAGCCGCGATGGGAGTAGGAGCGCCTGCATTTTGGCGATTGCGATGCTACTCGCCCGTTGTGCAGCGGTCGTGCTCGCCGTTGTCTTTTCCAGCGGAAGTTTAGCGTGAACCACCCTCTGGTTTTGTTATTTTCCGTTGGGCACTGCCGCTCCCACATTTGAGCACCATCGCATCGAACATAACAAATTCTAACCAAATTTAGGATAACTTTCTTGAAAGCACCTAATAAACGACTCATGCAAATAATTTGAAATATCATTCGTCGTGAATCAACAAGCCTCTTGAATAAGATCACATATTTTATATAGTTGAATCAATTATATGATCACTTATATAAATGCACATTTTCACCTCGCGATCAAACTGCACACAATCATGCTGCCTCGCCTAGAATCGTTGGCAGTTTGATGCCTTTGCTACAAGCCTAAAGACCAAGTACAGGGAGCTCCGGGCGACATTACGTCAAATCATCACGAGCTAGGGTGGCGATCGATACGTGTTATCTTATCCTTCTCTTGTAATTAGCTCAGTGTTACGTCGCTTGATAGGTCATTGTTGGCCTTGTATCGAAACCTCTACTATTGCACGTTGCCTAACGCATGTCTCGATATACATTTTTTTGTTGAACCTTGTAAGGGCCTTAGTCTAAGGACGAGCAATCGCCCTATTTATAAAAAGATAAATCGTCAAAAGGAGTGTGTGTGTGTGTGCGCGCGCGCGCGTGTGCGTGCGTGTATGCGTGCGTGTGACATACCTCTGTGGTTACCAAAATACTAAGCAAGATTCGCATAGAAGTTTAAGTAACTTGAGAAAATAAAGTCTACATAAGCACAATACTCACCTTTATCAAAAGGGAAGCATATCTCACAACAAACAACACCATGGGTTTTTCCAGTGAACATAGCAAATTGTTGTAAGTTAGCTGGCAGCCAAGTATCTGGAAAAAAATGCTCTATCACATGTGTAAAAGAGAAATTCAATGATTCCCCTGTCTAGAAAGCTCTGTTGGAAGTCAAGGAGACTTCTGGTCGGCAGAGAAGTTGTAATTCACTCAGAAGATGTTATCGGGCTTTGGCATGATCCCTTAGACCCCCCCTCTCTTAGTATTGCCAAGTTCCCTGATGATACTATTGCCCAAATTCGGGAAAGAGGCGCGGGGGCCTTGTTTAGGCGCAGACTCAATGTGGATCTAGCTCAACAGCTAGCTAAGATCAACGATATATTGACATGCTAAATTTATCCTTTGATCATGATAAGATTGTGTTGTCTTTTGGTCCTAAAGTTGGCTATACCACTAAGTCGATGTATGCTTTCGAAAGAGACCTGGCTGTGACTATAGGTGGATTTGGAAAGCCAAGTTACCTATTAAAATTCAAATGTTCCTTTGACAACTTTTCTAGATGTTGTGCTTAGCAGAGATGTCATGAAACATAGAAACTGGGCTAGAACCCTCGATGCTCATTTTATGATTGTAGAGAGACTCTTTTTCACTTATTCTTCTTGTGCCCGGTTGCAAGAATTGCATCGAGCACAGCTCGGTGTTTGGCATAGAGCTCTGTCTCAATAACCTTTGCTGGTTCTACTCCTGGTGTTACGTATTTCTCCTAATTGGGAACAGTTCTTTACTGTCGGTTTGGCAACTATTTGATGGGCCATCTGGATTTGTAGAAACCGTGCTACTTCTGAACTAAAAAGACTTAAAACCCCCTTTGAGGTTGTGTTTGCGACTTGTGTAAACTTATCTTACAGGGCAGGGCTTCTGAAGGATGGTGATCGATTGAAACTGGAGCGAGGTGCAGCGCTTCTGAAAGATACGCCCAAAGCATGATGAGAATCTGCGTGACTGCCTACTCCGATGATGCCCTGGAGGGAAACTTGCCCCCTCCTTCTCTGGGCGCTGATATGATGCTGACTGCTGTTGTTTTCATGGTCATGGTGGCCCTTTCATGGTCATGGTGGCCCTCGTTTGTGTATTTTGTTAAATCTCATGTTGCCTCTGCGTAGGTCTATCAAACATGATGACTGTTGTTTGGTGAACTGTTTAGGTTAGCGTTTTGAGGTGTTTCTGGGTTTTCGCCCCATGGCATGCGTTTCAAATGCAAGCATCTGCAATGGGTATCCTAGAAATGCTTGGACTCACTTTTTCCCTTTCCCTTTCAAACTCCTGGATTTTGTTGTATTTATGTTATCTTTTAAATGGAAAGGGGATTAGCCCAGTTCAGAAAAATACTTCTACCCTCAATATCGGAACATGAAGTAGAATGAGATTTCATATAATTCCCCATATGATTTTAAGCATGCTTCTCTCCCCAACTATGCCCTGTTTTACGATTCTACAAGATCATAATTCAGTACAACGACATATATCCCCAACTAACTAACTCCTCTACACTTTCATGTTGTATACAAATAAGATAATGTGATTTCACCCCGATTAAATTTACTAGTATGATTAGCCAAATTGGTACGGTTACTAAGTTAATAGTGTTTGAATTTCCCCTTTCGTAGTCGTCCCGTCTTCAAATCTATGTGCCACTATCATATTGTTCCACGACTAAGATGCTAGCATACTAAGTTCTTCCGACAAACCAACTTTACATAAATCAGTCCATCAAACTAAGCGATTTCACTTTGATAACCCTACTTGATGTTCTACCAGTTCTTGATAAATTTGATAACTTCTGTTGTAGTGTATCCCATAATGTGTTTTAGGTTGGGGTCATCACCGATTATTTAGGCCAGACTGTTACAACAAAGGGGCACTAAGTTATCTTTCTGATGGATAGTGCATAGCGAGGAAACTGGGAATTGTTACAAGTCCAAACACCTAATTCAAATATGTGTATTGAAGGACATTTATAATTGATTATATAGTAATGATTCCCCTTAAAATATATTCTTGAATTTTCTATGAATATACTTGTTTCTTTTTTGCAACTTTAGTTTTATGAAACATGAATAATGCTATATTTTATGCACATTGTTTTGATTTGACCTCACAAATTCACCGCCCATTTCTATACAGACCAAAAGCTACTCCTACTTCTGCTTGGCAAATGGTTGACCACCTTGCACTGAAGCTGTTTAGTTGCTTAAAGTTGGTTTACGGGGTTTTCTCATTTATCATTCTCTTAGTATTTCTCTGCCTTTTATTTTCAAATTTTCTAGGTTTATCTTTTAGTAGTACATGTTCTGGATGACAAAGCTAAAGCATTCAAACATAGTCTCTTGCTGGCAAGTATTTGCTCAGAACACAAAGAGATTTCTCTCACAGCTTTCATAGGATTTGGGTTTAGCATCAGAGAATCAAAGCTTCGAACGCTATACCCCTCTTAATAGTAGGTGGTCCTATGACTCAATGAAAGAAGAAGAATAACAAAATAAATGTCATGTATTCACTTTGTCTTCATTCTCCTCAGACGCAGTCATCTTTCTTCAGACAGACACTGAATCAATTGCTTCACTTCAGCAATTTTTAGGGGTCACTCTTGTTAGCATCATCTTCGGTGATAACCTTCACTGCAGCGCAGGGAGATTATCTTCATTGTTTGCATCAAACTCCTCAATACATCAGGGACCTGTTACTCTGTGTGCACTAGCAAACACATAAGTCCCAAACTGTTTATGTCAACAAGCTCCAAAACATAAGGGGCATATCATTGCACCAACAATCTCCCCCTTTTTGGACGGTTGTTGACAAAACAGATAATCATCAAAGTGAAGGTAGATAGGTAAAATGTAAATCAAACAAGAGTGAACTTGCGTTACTTGACTCGATGATGAAATATACTACCCCTTGATGTATGCAGGGTTAAAGATATGAAATGAAATTCCTTGCGATTCATTTAAGTATGTGGAGGATTTTTCAATCATTCGAGGTAATGATTCGCACTGATGATATGTAATCCATCGAGTATATGGTGCAATCATTCATAACTTTTGGTAAATAATTCCACCTACAAAAGAAATGCTTCGATAGAAATAGTGTGGCATGCGGGGTTACTAACATTACAACACAGAAGTAGTTTTACATCAGAGCACACATAGAATCACAAATAGTCTTTTAGACAAAGAGCTCAGAAACCAGACCAAATAAACACTAAGATCAAATTCAACAGAGTAAATCTATCCAAACGACTCAATGTAATTCTCCCCCTTTTTGTCAACTAGTGTCAAAAAGGTGACGAATGACATGAGTGCAAAAGAGGTGAACTTGATTCACTCTGAGGCATCATCGAAGAACTTGTTGGGGAACGTTGCATAAAATAAAAAAATTCCTACGTTCACCAAGATCAATCTAGGAGTTCATCCAGCAACGAGAGAGGAGTGCATCTACATACCCTTGTAGATCACGAGCGGAAGCGTTCAAGAGAACGGGGTTGAGGGAGTCGTACTCGTCGTGATCCAAATCACCGGAGATCCTAGCGCCGAACGGACGGCACCTCCGCGTTCAACACACGTACGGTCAGTGAGATGTCTCCTCCTTCTTGATCCAGCAAGGGGGAAGGAGAGGTTGATGAAGATCCAGCAGCACGACGGTGTGGTGGTGGATGCAGCAGGGATCCCGGCAGGGCTTCGCCAAGTGTCTGCGGGAGGGAGAGGTGTAGCAAGGGGGAAGGGAGGCGCCAGGCTGCCCTCCCTCCCCTCCTCTTTATATAGGGTCCCCAGGGGGGGCGCCGGCCCTGGAGATGGGATCTCCAAGGGGGGGGGGCAGCCAGGGGGGAGGCTAGCCCCCCAAGGCAAGTGGAGGCGCCCCCCCACCCTAGGGTTTCCAACCCTAGGCGTAGGGGGGCCCAAGGGGGGGGGCGCACCAGCCCACCAGGGGCTGGTTCCCCTCCCCACTTCAGGCCTCCGGGATAGGTGGCCCCACCCGGTGGACCCCCGGGATCCTTTCGGTGGTCCCGGTACAATACCAGTGACCCCCAAAACTTTCCCGATGGCCGAAACTGCACTTCCTATATATAATTCTTCACCTCCGGACCATTCCAGAACTCCTCGTGACGTCCGGGATCTCATCAGGGACTCCGAA